TGTGTGAGAGAGAGAGAGAGTGTGTGAGTGTGTGTGTGTGTGTGTTCAGCTGTTACCGGGGAAACCGCGATATTTCAGCTCCTGAAGCGCCACCTCGTGGCAGAGAATGGTTCTGCATTTCCAACAAGCCTTTCTTTGTGTTTATGGTCAGATCAATGCAAATATCAACTCGTGTTTTTACGCAGCAAACACATAGATTTGTAAATGAGAAAGAAGTTAAGGTGCCTTCTAAAAATCTAAACAATTAAGATAAATTATTATTGTTTAAATTGACAATAATATATATGCTTGATTTATCCCTTTTTGTTGTGCAAGGTTTTTGTGAAAAGCTGTGTCTGAACTGTAAATCATGTGATTTTATGGCTCAGTACTGTGTTATCACAGATATTGTCCAGTCCCACTCATACGGTGTTCATTTGACTTCTGCAGCTCTTAAAATGGGTCATAAATCGCCTTAAATAAATTGTTTTTTATTCTGCAGATTCCCTGTAAATAGTGAAATCAAATTCCTTCCTTCATATTTGTGTATTGAAAATATTTTTGATTGACATTTAAACCCCTATCTGATTGTCTATATTTAAAAAAAAAAATAAAGATATTTTTTTATTTGGGCTAGTTTAATTTTCGGACTACCAAAATCTGCAGAGTATCTGCTCGAAGGGCTGCCAGGGATTTAGACATTTTGCAGCCCTGCATACATTTATCATGAAAACAAAAATACTATGATCTATATATAATGACACTAACAAGAAAAGCTAGTGATGAATTTATTTGTTCATTTATTTACTTTATTGAACGAAGAAAGCCGCAGAGATAAAAAGATTAAAACTTTTTACAGGTGTGTCTTTGCCAAGATTGGCAGGAAAATACCATATACACAAAACAATGAACACGCATTAAACAACATCAAATACATCTACAGTGCGAGAATTCATTCAGTCGAGTAGCTTCCCTTTCACCCCCTGCATTCCTCTCTAGTGTTCGTGACTTCAGCTGTGATCGTGTGTGTCTGTAGTCTCATCAGTAGTGCTGTACTGACAGGTTCCTGCAGGTTCGAGTCTGTGGGTTAGATGCACATGTGCTAGTCAAGAGCAGGAAAACCTAGTTTAGTGAGAAAGCATCGCGGACGCAAGAGACGCAGCGTCTGTATTAATGGTACATTTGATAGGATTTCTAACTATTTACAGTAAGATAGGCTACTGTGCATTCGGTTCTTTATTCATTATTTTGTAGATGTTACAAAATCGTTTTGAATTTAACGCAGAAAAAGATGCATGCATGCTCAATCAAACTCAACACACTCTTGCCGACTTGTACTTGTCTGAAAGTAGCGATGTTTCCTGCGCCAGAAGTCCGTTGTCTGGTTTGTAGAAGCGATGTGTGATGCACTTTCAAACCTTTGTTCACTGTTTTTGTTCCATGTGCAGCTGAACCCAAAGCGAGGGGTGCATGTGGAAATGATCGCTCTCGCGGGAGATGCGTTGATTCCTATTGACATGACTGCGTGCGCGTGAGCGCACCTTAAGACGGTCAGAGAATAAACTTTGACCCTTTTTTTTAATTTATTTTTTTGCAATTCAGAGCAGGTGAGTATTTACTCGTGACGCAGTCAAATGTCCCGATGCGGGTCTGAACTCGTGCATCCTGCGGGGTCGTCTCGATGAATGAGGGCTTTTCCGTTTCCATGGTAACACGCAGCTCGCATCCTCCTCGCGTGCGTCTGCGTCTGCGTCTGCGTCTGCGTCTGTCTGCTCGTGTTCCGCATCTGGACTAGACTTTCATACTTGGCATGAAGGCGGTGTGTTTTAAAGGAGATGCTGTGGATGTCTTGTTCCTGTAGAGTCCTAACCTTTTCTCACACAGCTCAGTCAGACGCGGTTAAAGCTCACTTCACACACACACACACACACACACACACACACATCTACAGAGAGCATTCATCATACTGACTACAGGCCGACACGATCTCACACCTTCAGTACTACTCTGCTCATGAATCATTTCTCCGTCGGGGTCTTAGTTTCGTCGGAGTAACTCTTTGTTCCCAAACTGTATCTTGACTCCACAAGCACGCTGCTCGATTTTCTTCGATGCATTGCTTTTTTGAAGTTTATTGCACGCGCAGTTAATTTACTGAGAATATAAAATCATTTCTGAGCATCGCATTAACCGGACTAACACGTGCGCGAGGCTAAACGCAATTATGTGTGCAGCATGTAAAAGATGTCCAGCTTCTGAAGAAATCTACGGTGTGATGAGAGTTTAACTATTAACTGTAAAATGGGCTACTTGTGTTACATATTTCGTTGTACTATATTGTATTATTTTGATCGTGTTATATTAAACGTCAGCCGTAATTGCGTTGATTAGATATTGAGTGAAATAAAAAAGCAGAATCTATATTTTCTGCTATGACGCTTCGGTAAAAACATTACAGAAAGATACTGGATCAGACGCGCGCGGAGATCGATAAACACGGGTTTAGCCTACTTTTATAAACCGAGTTTATGCTCTAGTTAAAAAATAATAATAATAAAGTCCAACACCATGATTTAGTAAACAACTGAATTAGTTCACATTTGATAACGCTGAATAAACCGGCCTGGCTTATTAAATACAGTTCTTAATTGACTGAAATATCGTAGCAGTAATATAATAAATTAGCAGCAGTTTGTCGTAAACGTTCACAATATATACTTGGCCTGTATTTGTCCAAACCAGAATGATTTCACCACAATAAGAAAATCTACACATTGTAGAATTATTTAAAGTGACACGTCCTTGTTTATGTCTCAGCTCCATCAAGAGAAACATCGAATAAGAACGTGTTTTTGTGTTTATTGCTTTATTATTATAACTAATGCCGTTGCTGTTAAATGGACAATCAAAGCAGAGTCTTATGCATGTTCATATATATAGGCTAGATGATTCATATTTGTCTTGCACCGTTTTTAAGGCCTCACTCATTTTGAATGCCAAAAGAAATTGTTTAAATATGACGCGCATCGAAATTAGAAACATTTTAATCTTATTTTTAATCACTGGCTTTATTTTTGTAGCATGAACGAAATCTGTTCAAACTAATGTGCGGTGTCTTTTATTTATTACAATTAAAATTCTAAATCAGAAGATACAAATAATTCACCATATAATAAATAACACGAAGCCGTCTCGAGCATAAAACAGGAGCAGTGCGTTCCTCAGAAAGACTCGAGGATGAACTCTCTCACACACACGAGCTTCACGGGATGTCACCGAGCACTGAGAAATTATAGACTTGCTATAGATTCGGTTTTCGGTAATCGCGGTTAAATGCACAGTATTTTTTGCGTCTGTTCGTGCGGCAGGCCTACTTTTTCATCAGCTCGCGTGAGCATTTAGGCGTCTCTGTCGTGTAAAAGGTCACTGGAGTCTTCACGCAGGGCAGCACGTCTCCTCGGGTGTTTAGGGGTTAACGGGTTAGGTGTTCTGAAATACGTGGAAGCTCCACGCAGCCAATCAGAAGTTGTAAGCGCTGTGTGGCTGGCCAATGGGAGAGCGCCGAGGGTGAGCGCAGGTGAAGCGCACAGGGTTCGTGCACACTCGTGTGCGGGCGACGTGGTGCGCATCCAGAGGAACTCGCTGCGCGCGGGCCGCGATGCGGGGCTGATCCGGATCTGGAGCCTAACCCCGCTGCTTCAGCATCAACACTGACTTGTCCTGCTTAGCATGGCTGTGCGCAGCAACTCTCTGGTGCCGTTCTCCATCCAAGCCATTCTGAACCGAAAAGAGGAGGCTCGGCATATGAGCGATCTGGATGTCTGTTTCTCCAAAAGCGCTTGTTGGAAAATCTTGGATGACATGGATGCACCGGACAGAAGCGACGAGAGAGAGCACAAGAGCTACGACTCGGACTCCGGGCTGAGCGAGGACAACGACAGTAAAGCGCAAACCGACGCGAAGCCTGAAAAAGACGCAGATTTAGCGGACGACACGGATCCGGAGCGCTGCGTGTCCGGTGAGTGTGTAGATATAATACTTGAGCTGCCTCCAGAACCGATCGAGCACTTCACCAACAAAAGTTATCGGAGAAACTTATAAAGACTGTGTAGTATCGTGGTAACCATGCACAAAGATGAGCGTACCATATGCACGTTTTTTAATTTTTTTTAATAAGTAGGCCTGTTTGTTTTATTGCACATGTAGCATACTAATACCATGGTAGGCTGAGCTTTATTGCAACACTTTCAAAAACGTTATCGGAGAAACGTGTAAATGTATATGGTATCAAGATACCACGTAAAAATAAATGGCACAACCATGCACGTTTTTTCTAAGCATTGTTTGTTAATTGCACATGTATCATACTGATACCGTGGCATTGTATTATGGGCTTTGCAATACTTTTAAGAAACGTTATCGGTATAGTATCATGTAAAAATAAAAGGCATTATCATGCACGTGTGTTCTAAGCATATAGACTTGGACTTCAGAGACGGTTATAAGTAAAGCGCATGCACTAAAGCGTTTGCGGTTGTTTTGCAGACTGTAAGGCCGGCGAGGAGAAGAGCAGAGATCAGCCCAAGCAGCGGAAGAAGCGCTCTCGCGCCGCGTTCTCCCACGCGCAGGTGTTCGAGCTCGAGCGGCGCTTCAATCATCAGCGCTATCTGTCGGGCCCGGAGCGCGCGGACCTCGCCGCCTCGCTCAAGCTCACCGAGACGCAGGTCAAGATCTGGTTCCAGAACCGACGCTACAAAACCAAGCGACGCCAGATGGCCGCCGATCTGCTGGCCTCGGCCCCGGCGGCGAGGAAAGTGGCGGTGAAGGTGCTGGTGCGCGACGACCGGCGACAGTACAGCCCCGGAGACCTGCTCCGTCCGCCGGTGCTCTCACTGCAGCCGCCCTGTTATTACCCCTACACCTACTGCCTGCCCGCCTGGAGCCTGTCCTCCTCCTGCGCCGGGAGCCTGTGACCCCGGGACTCATGCATATTTATTACTGAACACACCGACCGAGGAGCTGAAACCGGGAGATTTATTCGCAGGACCGGCTCCGCGTTTGGGCCGAACCCGCCGGGACTATACCTGTTTAACTCGCTATAAATCACCGTTAGGATCTGATTGCAGAATGCATGGGAAATGTGTCGGATTTGAGCAAAACACTCTCTCTTCTGCACTTGATGTCGTTACCGGTGAGACCGGCACGTTCCGCACAGTGCAGCATATTAAAACCGGAGGAAATACTGCTTTGCTGGACTCAAAGTGAGCGAGCCGTGAACTCTCCACGATTACTCCACATGTATGTTTTCATATCAGTGTAACGTGTTTTGTTTAATGCAAAAGAAATCAAACATTAAAACACACGAAGCATCGTTTCAGTCGTGTTTGTCGCATTTGATGAGATCTGCATTTCAGTGCATGCTCAGAGCAGAAGCGTGAAGCTAAAGACCCGTGACAGGAGCCACTAAATCCCCTTTCACTCCTGTTTTCAGCTGTTACTCATCTGCCTTAATATCTCAGATCGGCATAAAAACCGAATTTTAAAAATCGTTGAAATTTCTTGTAGACAAAAAAGAAGAAACTTCGACCTAATTACTGAAATTCGTGACCGCAATAACGCCACTGAGATCGCAAACACTAAAATCAACAAACTATAATCAAACCATCAGCGCAATGTTCAGTAGTACTGATTATGACAATACTAATAAATGATTTAATCTTGTTTTGCGATCAGAACAAAGCCTCGCGAGCCTCTCAGCTCAGTGCATAATACCCTTGGCTATACTTACAGAGATAAATAACTGTGCATATAAATGCATGAATTATATTTCAATAAATATATGTGTGTGTCGCGTGGCTGATTGATTATTCTGACACAGCGAATTATGATCGATATTGTGTTGTTGGTAGAATAATCTTTCTAATGCAATGTAACGCGCACAGTAGCCTATTAAAGCGTTTGCTTAATAACACACCAGACAGATAAAAGATCCTGCTGTAAACATGATCAGATTTACTGACATTCTGTGTTTTCGTTTCGTCTTTTAGTCTTTGGGCTCAAATTAGGTTTTGTGTGGAGAAATGCAAAAAACAAAAAAAACACGATCATATCTAATAATTGAGCTTTGCTGTATTTGCCAAAAGTCATATTTATTCGATACAAAATCGTTTGTCAACTGGCTACAATTTTAAATGCATGCAATTTGAAATTAAATAAGAAATAAGGTATTTTTTGGTCTCGTTATTTAACACGTGCTGAATATCGAATATTAAAATCCTCGCAATTCATCTAGTTTTCTCTGCTGGCAGTGTTCGGGTGGAAGCTGGATTTAATGCTTACGCTGGATGCTTTGTGAGGAATATTTGACATGAATGCCTTCTGTTGGTTTTAACTCTGTTGATGAGGTTATTCTGAGAACAGTTCTAAAGTACAGCTCCAGAGTGTTTTCCCCGAGCGTGTGTGTGTGTGTGTGTGAGTGTGTGTGAGCGTGAGTGAGCGTGAGTGTGTGTGTGTGTGTGTGTGTGAGCGTGAGTGTGTGTGTGTGAGTGTGTGTGTGAGT